CCTCTCTCTCTCTCTCTCTCTCTCTCTCTCTCTCTCTCTCTCTCTCTCAAATAAATAAAAAAAATTAAAAAAAAACAACAATGAATTATTATTATTACTATCAATCAATAATATTCATTGAGCACAACTGTTATCATTTCAAGTTTGTGTTTGTGTGGTTATAATATGAGGGAGAGAAGATAGAAAAAGACGTGAGGTAATATAGCTAGTGGTATCTATCCAACATGGAGCTTTTGACCCACTGAAAACAACATCTCAACTTGAGACATTTCTATTGCCAGGAAAAACAAATTTAGTTTTTTTGCTGAGACAAAAAGTGAGAATGACATGAATGGGAAACTTGGCATATTTTTAGAAATAAAAAAATAAAATACAAAAACCTTATTTTGAAGAATTCTTTAAAACCTTTTTAAAATTTGAAATCTTTACCTTACCTTTATTCCCAATGCATTTTAGGCATTACAACATAATGAATTCTGGGGGCAAAACTTCTGTACACAACTCAAAACTGGAGGCAGTGGCTGTCTCAACTATGTAATGTAAGTCTGTATTCAGTGTCATGATGGGTTTGCTTCTGTCTGCGTTGTTGTGTAGAAAGGACCTTGGGCTGAGAGGAGGCATAAGACCTTCCAGCCAACAAATCACTGTGCTTATCCCATCTGCATTAGTCATTCTTCACTAATGCATATAAATGTTGCACAACTCTCATGTTCTTCTATAGTCAAGATTTCAGAGTGAGACTATTAATATTATTTAGCATGAAGAAGTGCTTGTATTATCTTTTCAAAATCATTTAAATGTTTGGATTATTTTTTCCCTCTTGAGGATATTTGAGTTTGAAATGGAATATTTTAACAGTGATGCAGTAACTTAAAGTCTCTGGTACCTGTGAGTCCATCTCATAATTTTCTTTGTTTTGGATACTGAAAAACACAATAAAATAAAAATCTACACAGATGTGTGTGTGTGTGTGTGTGTGTGTGTGTGTGTGTAAGTAGACTACCATAAGCTATATCTTCTAAAGAGAGAAACATGTATTTCATTATGTTGAGAAGGAAATTTCATTTTTGAATAGTGACATTTAGCAGAAATGTAGGTTTAATAAAATTAGATCTTGTTTTAATTTTTTTTTTTTTTTGCATTTTAGGGAAGGGTCTATTGTGTGCTCAGGGTCTCACTACTAAATTGGACTCATAGTGATTCTCCTGTTTACAGCCTCCCAAGTTCTGAGATTACAGGCATGTGTGTGCTACCATGTCCAGTATCAGTCCCCATCTCAGCATGCCCCCAGGGGCAGGGTCAGCATGGGAGGCCCAGGGATCAAATCCCCAGCCCCTGTGCCTGGTGCTTTAATCTGCTGAGCTATTTGGCCAGCCCTTGGCCAAGTTTCTGAAATCTGATCTATCTGCTTCTTTGAATTTGTACATCTAAACCTCCCTGCATTATTTTAGGGACCACGTGCATAAATAGCATCTAGTAAATGGTAAGCATTCAATACCTGTTGTTTCTATAAATAAGGTGAAACCTATTAATGTTTGATTAACCTATAGGATTCTTTATAAAAAGAATTCTGATATTATTGAATAAAGTGTAATTTATGCTAAGAATGAGGTTACATTTTTTTTCTTGAATTTCAGATGTACTGGTGAAGAATTCTTGACAACTCTGGGCATTGATATTTCACTATGGAGCTTGTGGAAGAATCATGTGGCTTTGGCTGTTGTAATGATTTTCTTCTTCACAGTTGCTTTTTTAAAATTGTTATTCTGTAAAAAATATTCTTGAATTCCCCTTCAATTTACTGTAAACTACCCTGACATTAAAAAGGGGTATCGTGATTTATTTCAAGTGTCCAGAGGAGGTTTCTTTTTCTTTTTGTCACTTGCTATCTTAGCTTTTTCATTGCTGAGACAAAATGCCTGCCACTGAAAGTTAAAGGAGGAAAGGTTTATTTGGCTCACAGTTTGTAAAGGTTTCAGCCCATAATTGGCTAACTCCAAGGCAGCATGACTTGTTAGAGGGGTATCACAGGGGAGAAAAATTCATGGTGCCCACAGGATAGCAAAAGCAACAAGGAAAAGAAACAACATGAGGGTCTGTCCGTCGTGTTATATAGAGGCTGCCAGCTCTGGGCTGGGTGGAGCACTCCCACCCTTAATCCTAGCCACAACTATGCCAAACCAATTAGTGGATTGATTTATTAATCATACAACTTTAATGCTAGCATCATACGTTCTAGATTTGGGTACCTCTTAAAAACCCTATGACCACATGAGGCTTTCAGGGAACATGTAGACATACACCATAACACTTGCAACATCACACTATCATTCAGTAAATATTACTTTTAACAGAATCCTTTAAAAGTTACAACAAGTAGAAGGACTCAAGCCAAAAACGTGTATGCTGTGAATTAGATAAAAATGTACACTGTGTTGATCATCTCATCAAATAGTCACCATGGGGTGACCTATCTATTGTTTTGAAATGCAAAGAGAATTGAATTCTAGTTTTTTTTTTTTTTTTGAGAAAAGCCAGCATAAAACACTTTTATTGCAGCAATAAAACTTGAAAGTCCTTTGTGGTATGGGGGAAGGGTGATGTTGAGGATGTGTGCAATGAGCAACAAAGCAACAATGTCTTTCACCAAATCACTACACAGGACACCAAAGAGTGAGAATAGATTGAGGGAAGAAAAACCAGGGAACTCTGAGAGAAAGCCAAGCATTAAAAAACAAAACAAACAAACCAACAAAAAAAACTTCTCACAAAATCAAGACAGAAAACAAGGGATGCTGAAGCTGCAATGACCAGCATCATTTTCTTAAGAGAACGCTCAAGGATTTGCCATGATGGCAGGGCTTACATTGGGTGATTAAGTCTACGGACAGCACCTTCAATTTAAACTTTCAATTAAAGTTTTTAAAATTTAGGAAGTGAAACTAGTTATGAGATTATAAAAGTCTTGAAAATCCTTTAGAAAAAGCACAGAATGGGAAGACAGGTCATAATGAAGGCAGCAGAGGTCCCTGTTGGCCCAGGGACAGATAATGGTAGTGTCCAACAAAGCAGTGAAAGAGACCTGCTTTCAAAAGGCAAAAGTTTCAGAGGAGATGGCTGGGGCTGGCAGAGGGTAATACTCTCCACCTCCCCTCTTCAGTTTTGGGTAGGGCTTTCAACTTACCCCAAGGACATCTCTCACAATGTAGAATAATTCATCCCTCAACAGGGTTTCAAATCTGCTGCAGCAGCAAGAATGTGTAATATACAATAGACAAAAATTTCATCCAACAATTAAAATAAAATAGTTTTGCAAACCCTACCCCAACACCAATTGCTATTCTAAAGTTAAGCCATCACTTGTGCTGTTAATACTTGACAATATTCTTAATCAAAAAGACTGAAATTTAATCTTCAACCAAAAACAAAATGAGTCACTTCAGGTTTATGGCATATAGTTTAGGAAAACACACATACAAGGAGAAAGGGTAGAGGAAATGGAAGGGCAAGAAGCCAAGCTGAATGACAGAAAGCATTCATTTGGGGTAGATGTTTACACAGAGTAGTGGGATATCAGGAGAAGCTCCATATAGATTCATGTGCACACATCTGGAGACATAGGATCCCTTCCATAGCAGATCCAAGAACAGGGAGCTAAGGGAGGAGGCCATGCTTGTCATTCCAGTTTTAGAAGCTTTCATGGTATGTAGCAGGATGATTCCTGGGTGCCCAGTGGCCACAGGCATAGTCTGGGGAGATGGTCAGTTTGGCTTTCTAACCCACATTCATCTGGCCCACCCCTTCTTCCCAGCCTCGGATCACCTCCTGCTTGCCAAGCATAAACTTGAAGGGCTCGTTTCTGTAATGGGAGGAATCAAACTTCATGCCATCTTCAAGCATCCCAGTATAGTGCACCATGCAGGTCTGGCCATGCTTCGGGAAGGTGCACCGTCTCCTGGAGAGATGGTCTCTAACTGCACTCCCATGGTGGTGGTGGGCACAGGGTGTGCAGAGGGATGGACAACATGGACAGAGAGCAACTAGAATTCTAGTCTTGACCAATTACTAATATCTTTTGAATCAGCTTCACTTTTCAAATAAATATGCATAATAGCATCTTTTAAGTTTTAGTATGATGCATGATATGCTATTCTTTTGTAAATAACAAAGATACTACCACTACATTAGAAGGATGAAATCTAAAATATGTTGGAAATCCAGCATTACTCATAGGGTTAAAAAAAGCTTGATGTTAGAAAATGTATTAGTGACTAATCTTATTAAGCTTGATAGAACTTTTTGATATTTCTCTCTAGGGAATTGTAATATAACAAGTTTGTTTGGGGAATCTTGGGTTCTTGTACCATTTCTAGGACATTCTGTTTCTCCTTTCTCACTCAGAATAGTTCTGTGGTTTATAATCTGTGCGTCAGCTCTCTGGATGAAAACCCAGGCACGCCAAATGAGTGACACCCTCTGCCACACTCTCAGGACACCTCCACCACTCTGGAGCCCACACCCTGAAGCCCGCCAAGTGAGTGAGAACTTCTGTGACACTCCCAGGACCCCCGGATCCAGTCCAAGTCCAGGCCCACCTAGTGTGAGGGAGAGCTTCTGCACTCCTCTGTGCCCCCTGGGCCAGGGACACAACAGAGGAGCACCACAGGTTCATTTCCAAGGGCTGCAGTGGGAAAGAACTGAACACAACAGCTAGACCCAAGCCAGGCATAACTGGATAATGTCAAAATTAATTGATCTGCACCAGAATTGCAGTAGATGTAAGGTTATAACTGCACAAAAGCTCTATACTAAAGGTCAGAAGTCAATGCTATATAAAATGACAGAGAAGAAGCAAAATACAATCTCACCTCAAGCCTAACCAGAACAAGTGCAGAGGACGTGAGCTCAACTGAAATGTGAGAATTAATAGTGTTGGAAATTCAAAGCATCTGAAGTAAACAATAAAATGCAGAAGCATATGGAGGAAACTCAATCTGAAAAAAAAATCTTCAGTAAAAGAATTAATAACTGCTTCTAAAGAAGACACCGATAAAAAATAGAGGAGATTATAAAAATGATGGACTCCTTGAATGAGCAATACAGGAAAGAAATAGATCACATGAAGCAGATCAAAGAGATATAGAGAAACATAAAATCTCAATCACAAGCTTGCAAAACCATTTGAGTGAAGTGAAGACACAGTTGCAGATCTTGAAGATGTGGGTGCAGTTAGTTAAAAGGTAAGAAAACATCTCTTAAAAACAACTAGGAGGCAGGAAAAAATAATTCATCACCTGGAAGATGATGCAAAGATGAACAACGTGAGACTAATAAGCATCAATGAGAAAGGAGACAATACAATTGAAATAAAAAGAATAAGGGCAGAAGAGCAGAAAACTTCGAAATACGAGGAAACAATATGACATTCAAGTAACTGAAGCACAAAGAACACCAAATAACTTCAAACCAATTAAAAATACACCAAGACATATAATAGTCAAGATCCCATAAACCCAGCATAAGAATAATACACTGAAAACTGCTATAGAAAAAAAGCAGATCAGGGGCAGGGAGATGGCTCAGTAGAATAAGCGC